GCCATGTTTGAAGACCAGTCAAAGCTCTGGGCTAAAATGGCGGAATATATTTTAGGTAAAGAATGGGCTCTGAGCGGTCACAACAATGTATGGACTTGCTGCCTCCTGCCCTCTTTCTGCAATCGAAGACCCTAATCTAAGGTTTGGAGAGGTATCCTCTGTGGGTGGAATAAGTTGTTTCCTCGTGCTTCCAAGGAACCCGGATCAAGGCGTGAGGTAGCCAACCAACTATTGTTCGAGAATCAGTTTATTCTGCTGCCGGACCACGAAACCTTCACAGCAGGAGACATCCCGGGATCCTTTGGGAGATCCTGGGCTGAAAAAGGGATCCTCATGGTGAAGCATATATGGGATGAGCACCGAGGGACCTGGATCACAGCAGAATTTCTTAAAAGGCTGCTCCCCCGCCTCCACCATGTGGAAAGTAACCTGTTGAAGCTGATTGCTGCCATCCCCCTTCAGTGGGCGAATATTCTAAGGGGGGGAGAGGAACAACAAGCTGAAACTTGGGTATTTGCGGATGACTCACCAGGCAGGGTGTGGAAGGTGCTGGGACCCGACCTAGCTATGGGTATGGAGGTGGAAGAATGCCGGCTGCCACTGGCCCTATCGTCACAAGCCCGACTGACGTACCTGACGAACATAGCAGTGCCCTCTACAAAAGGGACTGATGGATGCTTGTGTGTTGGAAGGGAACAAAGAAAGAAAGAAACCTACGCTGTTGGGTCCTGCTGAGAATTTCCGAACCGCGCCTTTAACAAAGGGCTGGGAGTTGAATGCACAACCAGCGGGCTTAATCAGAATGGTACCGCTCATTACGTGTAAGACGAAGATAGGTGTCCAAGTTGCATCGGGTCAGAGTGAGAAAGAAGCCGATGCAGTTGGCGCAAGAAAGATTCAGTAGATATAAGGACTCCGAGTTGGCTCAGCCTAACTGGTTAAGCCTTCTAGCAACTATTGCCCCGCCTGCCATCCCGAAGAGATGCCTGCCTACAGTGGCAGCAGTCTCTGATGACAGTTCCTACAACAGTATGGCTAGCCGATAGGGGCATGCAGATCTCCCTTACCTGCAGTAGGTGTGAGTGGGGGTGGGAATCAAATGCGCATCATTGGCTGGTGTGCCCTAGACCTCCGATATGCCTCCCTCTCCCCGACTTCCCTCCGCAGCCTCCTTTCCTCTCCTGGAGCTAACTCTTGGAAAGTGATCGGACGGCTGAGAGACTCTAAGAGGTTCCACTACTCGTTCCTCCTCCTCACTACTGCCTGCTTCACTCATGAGCTACAGTGGTGTGTGGTCTAAACCAGAATCCACACTGATTACACCCAACCGAGTATTATATTCCACTTAGCTTCGGTCAGCCTGGATACAAGTAGTCAAGTGGTAAACAGCAACTAGTGTCAGATCCTACAGGTAACACTACTTCTATTTTTAGATTATTCTGAAGCAAAATGCAATGCAGCAAAGAATGACCTATCCTATCTGCAATTATCTGTTAGTTGTCACCAAGTCCTTACAACTAAATAATCAAAAATAAAAATACCTTACCTGTGGAGATGCATGCTGGATGACAGTTTATCTAATTAGTATCTCAGCGAACAGTTACTGGAATCCCCCCTCTACCTGTATCCCTCTTGAGTAGTTTCTTTGTGTCGACGTCCTGAGCATCTGGTTGAGCAGCGTGTCTGAAGGTGTGCAATCTGGCCCACCCCATGCAACGAGCCTTACTTCCGTTATGATCTGACTGATCAAGAGGCAGTTTAAGGACAATCCCCAAGGTCCTCAGGAATTATTTAACGTCGCAGACAGGACAACGATCATAGCCAGGGTTCAATCCGGAACCCGCCAGAAATGTTTATAGACGGTCTGGCGAGCGTCTCTTAAAGGGCTGGCATGCCCAACATGACCTCTATTGCACAGAAGCAGAACCAAGGACTTGCGGTAAAGCATGCATGTACTAGTCCCAGCGGGTTGGCATGGTGACCGTGTTAAATACTCATGAAACACAGTCATAAGTATGGCGCAGATTCCCAGAACCAACCAGATAATCCAAAGTTATACAGATGCAAGCGGAAGACTTGAGATACCTTGGACTGACTCAGACCTGACTCGGACTGCAATCGAACACTCTCATCATTCATCAGGGTG